AAATAGTCAGCTTCGCAGGAGTTGTACATGCAAGAGCGGTCTGTCACCCGGCACTCTGCTTTTTATTGCACCCTTAGTAGTGTGATGAACAGTAGAGGGGATGAGCTCCGTAGTCACGAGGACCTGCCGTTCAGGGATGGAAACCCGTAACCTAATCCTCGGGACTTGGAGTGGCAAACCACATAAGGCCTCAATAGGCCAGGTGTGGTGTAGAACCGGGCGATAACAAAGCTGTCTATCACCAAAGTTGGGTGGCGGCAACGGGGCTCGAACCTCGGATTACCAAGGTTCAAAGCACGCCTCTGCCAGTGATTAAACCATTGCGCCACCACCACGCGCTCCAACCAGAAAATCCATTTCGGGTAGAACCATGTGAATTGGTGTTGGTGCAACTTTTGGATAGATGATACGAGTAAACCAGTGTAACACCCGACCCAAAGCGATACGTGCGGCGGCAGTGACCACGAATGGAACTAGACGACCCAGCGACTGAGTAAAGCGATACGCGATTACGCTCGACTGCGATACCCAATGCAACCAAAAAGAACTCCTCGCATGAACATTACGATCCCCGAACCCGACTAGGAAAAACAGAATACATGCCTTCAGCTGAGGTTGTACATTTGGCTCGACCATAAAGGCTACGATAGTGGACAACTCGTTTTTTTATATACAGTTTGGCGACCGGCCATTGATGACCTTGGAAAATAGGTCGAAAGTGGCGCGTCCTGCAAAACTGGCCCAATGAGGATCAAGTATGACCGATGTTGCCATATGAGTCTTGGAGCAAAAATCCGGAAATCCAAATTTTACAAAAAAATGAGGAAAACTAGAAGGAAATAGGGAAGAATGGTCCTCTCCCTATAAAATGCGAAAGTGGCGAGTATTTAACTATTTACGAATGTTTTTGTGGACACAGAGTGATTAAACGAAATACAATTCACACTGTTCTCGTTTTATGAACGAGCGATTCGCGGCACCTGCTTTGTGTCAACTTTTTTGTTTGTTTTGTTCATCGATCGTAGATGATCCGTGAACAAATTGTGTCCCGCACTGGATCAGTGCATTGGAATGATTCTGGTCGAAGACCGCGCAGCCTCGTTAGTCACCAACTTTTTTGTATTTCGCTTGTTTACAGAATCTGGTGATTTGTTTTCACTGTCAGTTCCGGTCACATGTAACAGAACTGCCGGTTCCGCTCTAACCAAGGATGATGATGATGATGATGACGATGATGATGTTTCGGTTTCGAATAATCTCGCAAAACAATCGAATAAATGATGGATGGTTTGGCCGATTTATAGTTAAGAACTACCGCTGCTACTGCTCAATTGCCTGTCCTGTTAAATATCATGCTGGCTGTTCGCACGCCTCGAACCTCGGACGAGTAATCCGCTTAGCCTCTGCAACACTCGGCCCCTTTTGTTCCTCTGAGCCGTCCAGGGTTACCCGCCCATAGATGAGATTTAGTCCAAACAATAGGCCGTCGAAACAACTTTTTGTAAACCTGGACTAGATACAAAATGCATCATCAGGAATTGAAATTCTCTCTCACTTTGCATTGTGATGCTGCAGGAAATTTCTTTCGCATTTAAATCACATTTACTTGTGAGTAGTGGTGTAGGATGATTGATAATGATTGATTTGAACTGACCCCCTTCAGGCTTCATCTGCACACGCACAAAATCCTCAGCTCTTCCAGTCAACCATACACTCGGAAGAGGTAGACTCGTGTTTCACGCTCATTAGAGCTCACCAGTAGTGCATATCCACCGTCCGAGAGTTGAACCCAAGACACATCGAGCATGGCAGGAGTGTGTGTGCACCAACCATCGCACACCAGGGCTGAACCCAATTGCTAATTCATGTTTGTTCAGGTATCCTATTCAGAAATAGTTTGTCAGTTTATTGGTGGCCCGACAGCAGGGAATCTCACTGTCTTCGCTTACCACGGAGCTCACAACGTGTACACAATGTGAGTATGAATTCCGAAGCTGGATAACGAGTGGATTTGTTTAGCAAGAGAACGCGGACCGAACCAAGGCGGTACACACCCACGCGTGTGCGCAACCGTGCACTGTCCACCTGTCTTTGTTCACATTGTTCGAAGATGTCATCACCACGCTTGGTCAGGATGAATCGTTAG